GTCCAATTGGCTGAAGGTGGTGATTTGCATAATCACTCTGATTTTATTTCTCAGTAATCATACAATATGCAAACCCCTTAACTCTGGATGGTTGATGGCTTTTATTACTCAGTCAGGGTACAATGATTTGCATAATCACTGCGCTTTGATGGTTATTAGACTCATTCGCCGTGATAGCAATGATAACTTTGTGCTTAATGTAGTGGACTGGAGAGCCCCCTATCTCGATTCTTTGCCCTGCCACAGGCTTCTGATACGATCTGGGTAAATTATTCGGAGTTTATCAATATTGTATCTTTGTGCTTCAGCTCTGGGTTAAGATCCACTCACCAGCAAGCACGAGATGATCAGATACTTCAGCCGTGAATCGAGCACCAGGACCGTACGATCGATAGACCCTCGGACACCAGGCGAACTAGCCACGAAGCTTCTTCCTGCCTTCACCTTTGCTTTCCAAAACACTTCCTTTAGTATAGTCGATGACGTAGTATTATGCATCTAAATAATCATTACTATTAAATTACGTTATGTTTTAACAGCTGGAACTGGAAGCAAGGGAAAGCACCCCATCATCAGAGCCGTAGCATGTTTTGTTACTAACTTACCCCCCAAATTAATACTATTAAATAAGGGAGATAGAACAGAGAACAAAGAATCAAATATATTCATCAGAGTTTTGTCATCTGGTCAAACGTATTTGTCATTTCAGTCTCGAAAAGGAATATAGTCTCAATTCACGGAAGCGAGTAAAACACTTACTGCACTTCCAGTGAAATCAGTATTATTTAAGCATATGCTGAAGTGTTTTGTTATATGAAAGCTCAAAATATTTCCAAATGTTGGCTCTGATTCTGCAAACACTTACATGTATGATTAATTTCATGCACATCAGCAGTTAGGGGGAATACTCGAGTGTACTGGCACGTGCGAGCACACATTCGCAAGCTCAAGGATTCCAAAGTAACTTCCTTATTTCTCATCTAGAGTTTTAAATAGGGTATAACTACAAACGCCCTAAAACCTATCAGTTTAACATTTTAAAATGGAGCCATTTCTAGTTACCCAGGGGCCCCCAAAGTTTGCAAAGTGCTTTTTATCATCATTCAAACCATCTTTTTCCATGTGTGTATAAATAATAAAAAAGGCTGATCTTGCTTTTTATCAAACTCCACGCACACAGAGAAAGTCAATATTGGGCTGAAAAGATTTCATCCTAAAGATCATTACCATTTTTTAAGAAGTTATGAGTGCTGGCATATAATGGTATCACAAATGGAACTGCCTTTTGTTCTCAGACATAACTTAGGGCATTATGGCAGTAATTCTATAATTAAATACAGATAAATATGAGGGGTCACTAACAGGCACGTCTAATAACCACCATCATCAAGTAGCATTTCCTGGGCTACCTCCTTACGGTATCCAACCTATAAATAAATACTAACCTCAGCAGAGAGATAATGTTTAGAGTTATGGCACTGAAAAAAAATGAGGTTTTTAAAATAAGTATACAAGTTATGGCTTAGTATTTTTACCCATAATTAAGATGTATTTCCAAAGAGCAGCCGCTATCAGGCTTACATAAACTTGACGTGATTCTTCCCTTTGTAAAATCCATCATGGCAACTTAACAACCACATGAGTCTTATCTCTGAATCATCGCGTTACGTGGTTGAAGGGAAAACCAGACAAAGTTGCGTGCATTAGAAGGAAAGCATTTTTCTTTTTTTCTTCATTAAGGTGTTATGTTTCAGTGCACTAAATTCCTGTGGTGTCATCTGCAGAGTGCAGTCAATCACCATAAAGGAGAGTTTTAAACCACCTTACAGATGTCAAAGGATTAAACTTCAGGCTGGTGAAGTATTGTGAAGACCTTGGTTATTTTTTATTCTCAGCTTATTGTTCGATATCATCAGACAGAGCATAGCTCCTTGGGTCTAACTATCCTCTACAGTTAACAAGACTCGAGCTTGTTGCATGCAAGTTCTCGGGATTACGTTAGTTTATTCCTGGTGAGCTAACACCAGGTCAAAGGAAGCCTTCTCACGACTTCAATCCCTACATCCTTTGCCGCACTTGCCACCGTCTTCTATTTTCTGAAATGGCTTTGATAATTTCTTCTTTTAGCTACCAGTGGGCCTGGTAATACCCGACGAGCTGAAGATGAGCAAACTTTAAATATTCAGAGTCCAGAAGGAAGCTTGCTACGCCGTGGTTTTACCTTAATGGGGCTCTGAACGGACACAAACCATCGCACTATGGGGAATGGGGTATTGAATCAAGGAGCCCAGTCCTTACACCTGCCTACCATGTACCAACCTCTACAATGAGTAGCTCCATTAACTGAAAAATCCTGCCTATGTGAAAAATTTAGGTTCTGCAGCTCAGTTATGTGCTATAAATAAATCCTATAGCTACATTTCGCAGTTAAACTAAAGCCTTTGTCACCCATTAGTCATCACACCTATTGCCAAACTGCTGCCAAGGTTAGTGATGCATCCTACAGATGTAACGCATCTCTTGTAAGCACAAATTGAATATTTAACTGATTTAATGTCCAGTTGTTTGTTTCAGCCACCAAAGCTGGGACTGCGATAAGACTTTGTACATTTGAGAGAATGTGTATCTGGTTCTTACCCCTCAGCAGCTACGTACAGAAAAGATCTTTGTCTTATCCATGACTCCAAATGTGCTGTGCAGCATCATCTCTGCCCTTGCTTATTTGGAAAGTGAATAGCCATCCCTTCAAAAACACAGTCTGCCAGCTTTCCTAAGATTTGTACCTTGAGAGGACGTTAATACTGCTTCATGCACAAAAGGAGATTGAAGAACAAAAGAAAAACAAATATAAAATTCTGAATTTACACCTGAATTTATTGATGCCATTTCCTAATTTTATGTTATTTGGCTCCGTAACAGCCTTTAAATATCATTTGTTGTCTAGTGCATGCACGCATACACGCACACGCTGCTGTTCACCTTGGTATTATCAATAGTACAGTACTACGTTCTGTTACATTATATTGTAGTGTGATTATTGGCATCTTCAGACCAGTCACCATTTGCATTGTGTTCGTGCTGGAATACACCAGTCCAGAACCAAAGCCCGTTACGCTCGGTACCATAGAGATATTTTTCAGAGAAGACAGGCGTAGGGATTTTCCAGTCCATGTCTCAGCTGGAAGACAGTGGATATCAAAAGCAGGCCAACACGGGGAGCGGGGCAGCAAGAAAACAAATAGGCTTTGTCAGAGAATTGGAAGTCTCTGCTTAGCCCTGCCTTACCGCTGACAGACGGTCGGGATTTGCAGGCGTTGAGGCAGCAGCGGGTCTTAAGGAGGGATTTAGAGGAGGATGAGGAAACAGCTCCATGAATTTTGACAAGGGGGGGATTTTGTCTCTGTGCGGCGAGCGGCATGAAGAAAGAGCAGGGGTATTAAGGAGAGCGAAGAGAAGGGGTGCCTGAGGCTGCCGTTACGGGCGATGGACAGGCAGGAGCAGCTCACTAAATACAGGTATTATACAAGAGGGAGACCAAAGTGACACAGACTGTTACAGGCAAGGAGTTGGCGTTTGCCACCATGGGCACGCAAGCACGTGTTTCCATCGGACCACAGAAAGTGGTGTCCGTAGCAGTATTTTGAATGGGAATATGGCTAATGTCAGAGGAGAACGGATCCTGCTGTGGCTGAGCCTCCACCGGGAACGGCTGACATGTCTCCTCAGTTCCAGAATCAGGCCTGGTTTCCATCTCTGCTAATAGAAAAGTTACTCAGACTGCCTTTTTGGCACAAATACAGAGGTGTTGCAATGGTGACTGAAGTCCGACCGCCTTTGCAGCACAGCACAGAGATTTTCACTCAGGTCTATGACATGCCTAATGCCTGTATGGATCTGTGCGGGAGAGCCTCATCTTTCTCTGCCTGCCCTAAGTCTGTTTTGATAAGCATCACATATGGGAGCTTACACGAGTGTGTTGGTGTCACAGTGTGTCCCACTGGGACCAGATTTTCCATCAACAGCTTCCCCAGTGAACGGCTGGCCCCATCTAAGCCTGGAAGAGGAGGAAATTCATAGGCTGTAGCCTTCCCGTTCATACATTTGGTGGACCTTCAGTCTCCCGTTTGAAAACAGGAGCCCTGAGAGCATTATTTCCACCGAGGCCAGCTAAGGCACAGCCACTGATGCCAACCACCCTTCCGACCCGTCGGCAGCTCTGAAGTGCCTTAATGATCCTACAGATGCTTTCAGTGCTCTGCGACAGTGAGCACAAAGGCGGAACGGACCATTCCAGACGCTTTCCGGAGGAATGCCCGCCGGTCAAAGGGCTTTTCTCCTGCTTCTTTTGATTTTCCATCTACTTGTATGGAAAACATGGAGGAGGTAGGCCAAGAAAGTTGGTAAGATAAAAGGAAAAATATATATCCTGCAGTTCTTGCAGGGTTCCCAGCAGCAGTTAGCAAAGGGTGTGAAGTTGGACTAGGCTGGCCAGATCCCTCTCCGTGCCAGATCCCAGACTAACCTGTTCCCTGTAACTGCCACCTGAACGGCGAGAACAGCCAGGCTTCTTCCTTAGCAAGGTGGTGTCATGCCAGAGGCAGAGGTCATCGGTGCTGGCAAAGTTGCAGCACTCAGTTTAAAGATTAATAGACGGTATCTTCTTTCGGGCTGTAAAAGTGGGCAGATGATAAAAAAAAAATATCACAGACCTGTTGACTTAAGAGACTGCAATCTGCCCAATAACGTTAGCATAGCCACAGAGTCGTACAGCTAGTAGGAAACCATGTGCAAAAGGTTAGGTCTCAGCATAATGTGTGGGATTCATGTGTGAGTCAGAGGGATTGGGAAATCCTTTGTAAAAGTTACCAGAAATCCCCTCCCTGCATTTTTTTCCCATGACTCATCCCACAGAAAGGGATAATATGGAACCATGTATGTCTCTACAGCAAATTTTTAACA